TTCATGCTGCAAATTCCATCTCCATCGAATCTAAATCTTTTCCCACCAAGCTGCTGCATAATCTGTAAACTCATAGGTGGATAAATTCAATTCGGATGCTCTGGGTAAGGACTACACTGGAAAAACATAATCATCTTCCTCTCCTAGCCGAGGTAAGCTAGTGCACTATTAGTGCCTTCAAACGATGGGATTGAGAGCTTAATCACTCGAATTGGTTCAACGCCATAACCCCCTGTTTCTGGTGGTCTTCCTCCATACTCATGGTAATCATTCTCATAGTCATTAAATGGACGTCTATGATGAGGGATAACCTGACGACGTTGCTTCGTGTATTGGCGCCTCTGCTCCTGCCAATCTAGGGTTTCAAGAAAAGCTTGGTAAACTCTATCTGTTCCGATGTTGGATGATCTATGGTTGTGGAGTTGCTTGTTCTTCGGGAGGCTATTCTCTGGTGTCTAAGTCAGGGATTTATGGAGACAAGGTTTGAAGGCGATGCCAAGGTCATCATTGATAAGATCACTTAGGCGGATACCCGGGATAACCGGATGTGGGCTGTTCTTGAGGAGGTGGTAGATTGTTTCACAAGTCATAGCAGGCTTAGTGTGCGATTTGTAGGTCTTCGTTACAATAGGGTAGCCCATTTGGTGGCTAGGAAGACCCTTTCTTTGTACCCGGCTACATGTCGCTTATTTGATTTTCGTGTCTGGCTTAATTCCACAATGTAATTGCCTATTCTTCTAATCAATATATGTGATTATCTTTTGTCAAAAAAGACAATTGCTAAACATATAAAATTAACAAATTACATATAATGATTTACGTGTGCAAAACTAAACTAGCTTATCATCCTTCTTTTAAGCATTATATATATATATATAATTATTAATTAACATGTCGCTGTCGATCTCAATTATCTCCATTTAAACATATTCTATTGAAATTTTATACAAATACAATGTTACTAGAAGTCATAATCCAAGTTGTAGGACTCATTGTATTCATCAGTCAATTAGTTATTCGTTGGTGTTGTTTTCTGGAAGGTATTTCTCATGGTTATTATTTAATAGAACTTATTGAAGACATTATCCCCACTATTGTGCTTCTATAATTAAAAAAATGCCGCATGTTGGCCCTAATTAACGAAGATTAAATATATAAAAAAGATCATTACCCGTCTCTTGGCAGTTCCAGGAAAAATACACAACATTATAATGTACAATCAAAAGGAATGAAGGGAAGCATCCCTGTGAGTCGGCTAGGCTTTCTAAGATCACTGGGTGTGGTATAGGGATTTGGTGACTCCCTCAACTGGAAATTGGCATTGAGGCATGTGCTTTAGCTATGGGATGAGACATTGCTGATTCGAGTCTAATTGTGCACATTTTCCCCCTCATTTTTTGTTAGTTTGACTTTGCATTTCGTCGTCTCTAGGCCGATTTTACGCTAGGTTGTGCTATTTTTTATACATTTCAGGTCCTAGCGTGTGTGGGAAGGTCGATGAAGAGTTTCGGGAAGATTGGAGTCGATAAAGCGCAAAAAAGTGAAGTAAAGTGAAGAACAATCCAATGTCACGGACAGAGGTCAAATGTCACGGTCAACAGACCTTGAAAATTGATCATTGGGCTTGAGAAATCATTGTCACAGGCAGAGGTCCAATGTCACGGTCATAAGATCGTGACAATTTCCCTTCGGACATGACAATGTCAGTTTCCAGAGCCTTTTTAGAGGTTACTGGAGCCCGAGTGGTTCACAGTCTGTTGACCGTGAAAATCAGCCGTTGACCGTGAAGATGGACCAAAACAACACTACTGACATGTGTTTTGGTCCAATGTCAAGGTCAGGGCTCCAATGCCCCGGCCGTGACATCTGACCATGAAGAGTAACTTTTGGGCTCTATAAATAGAAGGCTGCTGGGAGAGAGAAAGGTGGGCTTTTTTAGGCTTTTAACTTTCAGAATAAAATGCAGTTTTCTAGTGAGAGATTAGGGTTTCCTCTTCCCATTCTAGAGAGGAAAAGTGTCATTCAAAGTAGGAATAAGGAGATTGGCTCAATTCAAGCTAGAGGATTAAAGATCTCTTCTTCTCAACGGAGATTCAAGCAAGAAGAAAGGAAGATTTTCATCTCTCCATGGTTCTTTCTCTCCTTTTTGTTGTTTTCCTTTGCGTAGCTATGGATTAGCCTTCCTACTCACTTGGGTATTGCGAATCCTAGTCTAGATGTATGTTAGGATGTAAGAACTTGATTCTATTGTGTTGATTGTGTGTTCTATATAATATTTGAGGTATTTTTCATGGATGATTGAGTGTGCTAGCTTTTACTCATGATTGGGTCATTTTGACCTAGGTGGAGAGAAGCACCTTGTTGAAAGAGGCTTTGGGAAGCTTGATTCTTTGCCAATTTGTCCCTAGTCAAATTTAGGACAAACTTTAAATTAATCATGATTAGTGAGTGTTGCTTGCATTATCTCTTTGTAGGGTCACAATTAGCCTAGTGAGTGGAAATCCCCTTTTGGCCCATAGGAGCTTAACCTCCTAGCCTCTAGGTTTATCTAGGGCCAAAACCTCAAGTATCATAGTAGTACCATGATTCTAGCGTGATTGGTCTATCCACCGTGCGGGTGAAGATCCGAGGGCTTGGTTTGCAACCCTTAGTCGACCGGGTTAGAGGGGTTAGATCATCTAGCCTATTGTTGTCATCCTTAGCCGAAAGGTTAAGAGAATTAGTCCACTAACTTCATGCAACAATCCTAAATTGGTAGACTAAGAGAGTTAGAGTTTCCTCGGTTGGTTGGTTAAGAAAGCTAGGTCCTCTAGCTTCTTGTCTCAATCCTTAACCGATCTACTAGGAATGTTTATCTCTATTTAGTTGCACCCGCCTCACGGTATAAGAACACATCCTTCACACTAGAGTTTCGTTCATTGCTTCTTAATATGAGACTAGGAGGAGCAATACCCGGTGAAGTCCTCTCAAGTAGAATTCTCCTCGATTTACTTTCCTTGTTTGTTTACTTTGTAGTTTTCTTAGTTTTAAATCCAAAACCGTTTTGCTAGATAACAATTCAAGTGATTGAAGTAGGGGTACATGGGCCCACCCGGGTTTGACAATTAAAACATACTTGCCCTATACTACATCCGACTAGAGTTTAAAAACTTTGGCTCTAGTCGGGATTAATTCGTGGTGTAGTTCGTGCAAGTCAGTTGCTAATTTTTTCTCTGAGGCTTTACTAGGATAGTTTGAGGAGTATCTATCTATGCCTCCTTTTGCTTGATTGTTGGTAAGGGTGGCAATCGGTACGGTATCGGTATCCCAATACAAAATACCGAAATCGCGAATACCAAATTACACCCCTAGAATCAACCACAATCTCAATCCCTAAATAATTTCGGTATCCCAATCTCAATCTTTAAATATTTTGGTATCCCAATCTGTATTATCTAATATGAAATTATTTATCTTTTCCATTAATAATTAAATATATAAATGAGAATTCATTGTTTAATTTAGGGAAAAGAGACTAAGCAAAGAGTCTTGAGTTTGCCTAGATCTAGGATATGGATAAGGAGAATGGAGGAGAGGTGACATCTCAAATTCCTGTCATTTGTAATCTTTAATTTGACGAATTGGAGGCTGAGAGACGACTAATACTATTGTTTGCTTTTTGGTGTTATGATAATAACAAGAGATTAGGTGAGGGACGAGAGTGACTTAAACTGGAAAGTCAAATTGAGTTGGATGGGAGCTTCTAAGTTGTGAAAGAGTAAGGAATGACCAAAGGTTGTGTATTATATTTCATTAATTTTTAATTTTTGGTATTTTTCGGTATTTCGGTATATACTGATCTCAATCTCGTAATCCCGAATACCAAATAGCCCTCCAAAATGAATCCCAATCCCCATCCCTTAAAAGTAATTCGGTAATACCAAATAGTGATAAATTCGGTACAGTATTCGGTATATCGCAAATATCGGTACCAAACTTCCAGCCCTAATTGTTGGGATGTTGAAAAGACCTCTTCTTGACCTTTGGAGCCTTGTCTGCGATCTTGTTTTTTCGATCCCCTTGTTTCTCGGAAGTGCTTATGGAGTGAGGCTACTTCGCAGGTCGATCCATGCGCACTGGCATATCCACCATTTCCACGTTGATAGTTTGATGAGGATAGTGACTACCTTGTCCTCACAGCTACCAATAGGATCTCGTGGATGGAATGTGTGCGATTGGGTATCCTTGAAACTTACTTGCGTTGGATCGATAGTGGTCACTATAGTGTGCAAAACACTCATTCTCGTCCTGGGAAGTTCTCACCAGTTTCCATCTTGATGACCACATCACAACCCTCTTTTTGCAGTCTCCAATGGCAAACTATTACCTTCCTTGGAGGCCAAAGGGTTGTTCCCTTATCAATATTTGTTGCCACATGCTTCTTAGTCCCCCAATGCGGGCACCAATATGTTTCACCGCTTCCTTGTCGATGAACTTCGTGGGAAGCCCGGGAAGACTAGCTCACGCCATGCTTGACACCACTTGATGCATGCTAATTTACACATATTTGAACCCTCAATTCTTTATTGTTTCTTGACCATTTACCTTGGTAATCCTCTCTCCTTAGTCAATTTTACGCTAGATTGTTTTCTTTTGATATATTTAAGGTCCTAGCAAGTAGAGAAGGTTTGGGAGCGAGTTCTGGGTCATTTGGAGGAAAAAAATGTGAAAAGAGAGTCAATACGGATTATTATGGCAATGAGCATATAACATCCTGATTTTTTGGGTTAGGTTCGATCAGTAATTGAGTCGATTTGGGTTGGGAGCATATTTATTGTCAATTATTTTATATTTCCTAATTAAGGATAAATATGTTTTAATTAAAATAAAAAAAGGAAAATGGAAAAAAGAATCTCCACCCTTTTCTCTAACTGTCGGTCTCTTTCACCCCATTTTAATTCCACCCATAACCCCACATTTGTTTTCCCCAATGTCTCCAATAGACTCCCCATATACCTCAACGTACGTCTCAATTCCTCTCCTCCTCTAATAATAGGTTGTAGCTGCAAACCCCATCGCTAACTTCCTCTGAATGTCACCGTCGCTCTCCTTCCAAGGAAAGTTGTGTCCGCCATAGACCCCGACAAAGTTGAGATCTTTCAGCAGCGTGCACAACATGGAAATAAAGCAAAGAGCCTTTCGCTGATGAGGGGGATTGGCTGGGAAAGAAATGGTCTTGGTGGGGAAATTATTTGGATCAGGAGAGAAACGCCGAGCGACCTTCTCTGTCCCCAGCGTCGTCATCTTTCCACCGGGGAAGTCAACGAGACCAAAGAAGCTGGGGTGAGAGAGAGACTTGGACGAGGGACACTAGGTTGTATGTGGCAAGATGGTAATTGCTACAGAGAGCGAGAGCAACCCAACTCGAGAGAGGAATTTGGAGTTCCGGTGAGCTATGATACGGAGGTAAGACGTTATTCTTTTCTTGAAATTTCACTGGGTGTTTATTGGGTGGTTGTGGGGATTATACTGGATCTCATGGCAAGGGTCCTTGGTTTCAAAAATTTGAGATGGGAAGCGGGTCTACAAATCAGTATGCTATTAGGATTGTTGTCGAGGACTTACATCTGTGGTTACAAATGATAATGGATTGTTGGCAGGGAGTGGGGAATTGATTAATTGTTGATGGAAACGTGTGATATTGTTGGGAAAAACTTAATTACCAAGAAGGGCACGAATGAGAATGGTGGTTAGAGCATGGGTGGTTGGTGATTGTATTAGCTAACAGTGGAATTTCTATTTGGCAAGCTTTGCGAGGATCAATCGTTGGTAAGGTATGTGAATAAGGAATTAACACAAGGAGAAGAAGATTCGAAGGTCTAAGTCTTGCATGATGGATCTTTGGTCGGTGGTTATATCAAGTGAGACTGTTAATTAATCGAGTGTGAAGTGGGTAATATCTCAGTCGTAGGTGTTTAATTTATGGTTTTATTTTCAGTAATGTTAGTTAATTTTTGAGTTATGCGTGATTATGTGTGTAAGGCATCCCACCGCCTATTTAAGGTGGAGGCATGCGTTGTGCTATGTATGTGATGTATGTTTGTATGTAAGTTGAACCCTCGGGCGGTTGGGCCACTACTAGACGCAGTAGATGGTCGGATCACTGCTGGGCGGCGAGACGTAACACAGCAGTTGATCATGTATGTTGGGGTCACTAATGGACGGCGAGACGTAACGCAGTAGTTGACTGAGCATGGACTAGATGGCGAGACATTACGCAATACCATTGTCAAGTTTGTGTATGCAACTGGACGGCGAGACGTAACGCGGTTGGCATACTAGTGTAGGAACACCGGACGGCGAGACGTAACGCAATGGTCTTAGTGTTTTGTGTTTGAGTTAAGGGTAGACTTCAAGAACTTCTATGGGTTATGTCGGGATAAAGTACTAACTTCTATAAGATAAGGATAGAAGTAAAGATCTTCTATAGGTTGTTTTGAAAACAAAGTTATTAAGGATGAAAGCGATAATGGCTTTTGTCTAAGAAAGGAATCCCGCTAATAATATGTTAGTAAGGGTTTGCTTAGGGTAAAGACCTTAGGAAGTAACGACGAGACTGACCCCTTCTCACTCACCAGGTTGAGGAAGGGTTAGCGGATGAGGATTTCGAGAAGAGGCAGGGCAAGGCGAGAAGCCGCACCAGCATTGGCGAGGTCGCAGGGAGTAGGAATGGCATCCCTAGCAGTTCAAACATATCGGGTAAAACGGGTCAGGCCGAAATTGCCATCCCTAGCAGGGAGCTCAGCGGGTAGCTAGAGTTAGATTTAGTTAGTTGTTTTATGTATCATGATTATGAGTATAAACTGGAGGTTCAAGGTTCAAGATTTGTGGATCAAGTGTTTTGGATTTGTTATTGCCCATGTGTTGGAGCTTTTCGTTTGAAATTCTTAAACATTGTTGGTTTGTTTATTTTAAAAAGTGGTTTGGGTTGCTTCGGAGTAACCGGTTTTCAGTTTACATTATGGTTTATTTTTTGAAAAAGGTGGGGTTGTTTCAGAGCATGGAAGTCGCGACAATGAGTTCAAGTTTCTACCGTGAAACATGTCCATAAAATCTTATGAAAAACATGGCCAATTATGTGGAATTCACCGCCAGCTTCTTGGAAGTCATTGCGTGACTTTCCCAACTTTTTTACCATGATTTTTTCTCTGGACACTAAATCAAGTTCTGCATTTTAGTGATTCGTGATCGTAAAAAATATCACCTCATGAATGTTGGTAAATAATTTTTCCTCTGCTTTTGGCATACATACATTTACAGCAACTTTTTAAAGAGGGAGCTGAGTTTTGGACATAAAACAGTCAAAGGACGAACCCTAGAGAGAGAAGTCGAACCTTGAGAGTCTTGGGAGTGAAATTGATGATTTTCACCCATTGTGAGCTTAAGGAAGAAGCCTAGAAGAGACGGATGAAGATCCAAAGAAGAATCAAGTCATCATGATGTCAATTCCCTTCTCTTTGGTATTTTGTTCTCTTTTTATGGAGTAAACTTCCCCTTTCACTTGAGTATGAGAAATCCTAACCATAATTTGTTGAATTGATAATTGTATGAGTACTCCAACTTGTTAAACTCCAAATTCATATACAATCTTGCATTATTCTTGAATTATATTTTCCTTGATCAAGTATTGCTAATTTGACTTAAGAGAGAGAATATATTATTAGGTTGATTAGAAAAATCATTGATTGGAAGTAGGAGGTTAATTGTGCAAATTCAATCTACCAACTACTTTGTATTGGGTTTGAATTGAATAGAGGAGTCTAGGTCTTGATTGGTTGACTATAGTCCCCGTAAGAAACCCACTAGAGAGGGCCTGGAATGCTTTAATCGAGATTGAAGTCCGGTTTATGACTCTCTCCATTATGAACAAGGATTTCATAAGTTAGAGCATCATTGATCTTAATCCGACTAGTGTTAGAAGGGAAGCATAACTCGAGTGTGCCTTCTCACTTTGAAACAATCTTAGTTCATTCATTTCGTTATTTCTTTGACTAGTCGTAGTCATTGTAAGTAATTGAATCAGAACCCATATTGGCTATATAATAATTTGAATTTGAGTACTATTACACCTAGAAACCCGAGAAATAGAGTAATTTATAATTTGAAGTCATTATACTATGATCCTTTCATTGTTTTCCCTTTCTCGGTAGTGTTAGTTTTAAGCATCTAGTTTTGGGTGCCATTTCTGGGGACTTTCTACGTTATTAGGAAAGAAATAGGTTTACTAATTTAGCTTTCATTCTCCAACCCTCAAACCTTTTTCTTTAGTTTGTTTGCTCTTGTATTTTTTGTGCTTATTTCCTTGTGAGTGTGTTAGAATGTCTTATAATCTTCTTCGTATCATCGTTATTGTGTTTTGTTCCCTTTTGTTATCTTATGGTAGCTTTAGTTATATTTTACTTTCCTTCTTCCATCATTTGCTTTTATAAGTATTTTTTTTTTTTAGTTTTGAATCATGAATCCCAATGACTTCTCCAATGTATGGGGGTATCAACCAACACCCAATTAGTGTTACATCATGCTTCGTGGGCCCACCAAGACGATGAAGGTCGAGGATTCAGGTTCCATGACCAACCACCCTTCTATGATGAACAACCATATCCCTTGGAATGCCCCCAATTTCAAGAAGACTTTCCTCCACAACCTGAGTTGTTATCCGAGTTGGAGTTAGAATCAGAGGCCCTCATGGCAATTTGTTCAAGACCATGCTACATTCCACAACCGGAGCCGAAGATCCCATTTGAGCCTGATATGGATAATTATTTTATGGATAGTGAAAGAGCACGGTCCAATGTGGCCTTCCAACCTATTGCCTCCCTCGACACAAATCTTCTATGTGCAACGTAGTAGAATTTCAAGAATGTAGAGTAGCAAGGAGAGGTTGTTTAGAAATCTTGTGCACGACGTGCTCATGATCACCTTTTAGATATCACACAAAAAGATAAGGATGAAGAGATGAGCAATATAGACATTATGGAGATAATGGAACTTGTCACGAAGAACTCCTATAATGATAATGAGAAATCATGTCCCATTTTAGGCACCCACACTCCTCTCCCTCCCAAGTCAAGATTCAGAGAGATGGTCACAAAGGTGGATAAGCAAGTTGATCTTGTTGAAAATATTGCACAGTAAATTTCTCTCCATCTCATACTTGAAGAAGAGGATGAAGGGTAATAAAAGAATTTTTGGAGGAAGAAGAGAGCAAAGAAGATGAAGCTCTTAATTTTTAACACGGGGAGGAACTTATTTTTCAAGAAGGAAGAGAGGTGGAAGAAGCAGTTGGTTTCCAAGAAAGGGAGAAGTTGTGGTGGCTGATGCCTAAACAAACCAAGATTCATATTGAATATCCACACCCGACCTTGAGGAGCTTCTTGAGAAGGACCATTTTACGGTTTGTCTTTCCCAAACCAAGGCCACAATATCATTTTCATATATGGTTTTGGACGAAGAGAAGAAATAAAATGTCTCGGAGGTGGAGCCTTACGCTTAATCATTTGGAGCCCTAATGGTCGATCATCCCTCTTAACATTTTTTCCCACAAGCCTTTTATCCTTGTCTATACCTACCTGTCTACTAGTCCGTATTTCATTTAGAGACCTATTTTGGGTCTAGTAGGTTAGCCCTAAATTAGTTTCTCCTTTTTGTAGCCCATCATCTGACTAGGCAGTCGTCATGTCATCGACCCAAGGACGAGCATGTCGCAATCTGCAACCACTTTCATGGCTTTGACCCCATGGACCATACACCTACGCCGCTAGTGCCACCACCATGCATGTGGTGTCCCCTTCTCAGGTCTAGACCAACCATCCACCATTGACCCGACTCTCACTGAAGTTGCCGTCTTTAGATGCTTGGCCGCTTCTAGCTCATGGCTTGTTAGGCCTAGGGTTTTAACCCATAGGGTTGTGCATTATCATCTTCATCATGCACTGATATCAATGCCTCCTTAACCAGACTATAATTTCACTGATAAAGAATCTATTGAGACGCTTTTGTACAATTAATAAAGGACATAAAATTAGGGAGAATTCATTGTTGTATTTCAGGAAAATAACAAGAAAATGTTAGGAAGAAGAAAAACTTCTGGATGGCAGCCAAAAGCAGTAGGTAGCAAGGTTGTCAAACCGATTTATATCAGCATGTCGATTTGGCAAGTGATATGGTGCGACCAGCAGTACAACCGATTTTAGGAAAACATATAGGGAAGTGAAAAAATGATTAGCACTAAATGAAGTTTTAACTCTAATATCTACATCCATATTTAAATAAAATACAACATTCCAAATAAAATTAAAAAAATCATCATATTTAAATTTTAAATTCAACATATAACACTAAAATCTAAAAGTTTATACTTGAATCCAACAAATAACATCAACATCTAACTTTCAAATTCAAGAAACAAATCAATTTGTTTTTAATTAGAATCACCAAAAGAGGGTCATTTTGTTAGAAGGTCAGAAATCGATCATGTCGGTCATTTTGGGGACATTCCAACCGGTTTTGTAACCAGTACATTTTGGTTCCAGTTGTATCGATCGACATATACCACCAACATGACAACCATGATACGGAGAGATATATTTGGACTAAGTAGGAAGAGATAATTAGGATTAGTTAGGATTTATTTCCTTAATGACTTCTCCTAAGAAATTATAAAAATATTTAAGAGACCAAATTATCTTAGACTTCTCCTAATTGAAAAAATAACCAATACTACTCATAACTCCCTAATAAGTATTAATTCAGTATCTAGAATCCCCACACCTAAATAAAAAATGAACACCTTCATATAATATCTTAAGTCACATAAAACTTATTATCATCATTGTTTTTTTACTATGTAGGAGATTGACAATTCTCTTGACGAGGTCCGAAAAGTGTTAGAACACTTATTCTTTATTTGCCCTTAAGCAATCAAACTATGGTCTTTCAAGGATTTAAATGGTTTCATTATCTCGGTCCCGACTGTGAATTTCAATCTCTAGTGGCGACATGTTATGCTTTCTAAGCACCCACAAACCCATGTTCTCCAATGCATATGCATATTGTGGAGGATCTGGAAGTCTCGTAATAAGGTGGTATTTGAACATTATCAACCACATGCTCGTTCTCTAGCTCGACCATATATTTTTTCCAAGCCTACGAACTTTCCTCATTACTCTCTCCCTCTCCTCTCCCGCTCCTCGGCTCCCCTCGCTTAGCCCCGCCCTTTGGGAACCCCCTCCAACTGATTTCCTGAAGATTAATTTTGATGTTGCAGCCCGTGAATTTGGTTGCTCGTCTGGCTTGGTGATTCGAAGGCAGACGAGCATGTTGTGTTGGCATTTGGGGTTCAACATCCTGATATTATTGATCCCTATCTTGCTGGGCTCCTAGCAGCCAGAGATGCCATCTCGTTCGTTGTCTCTCAGTCTCTTCCCAGTGCCATCGTAAAAGCATATTCTAAAGTGGTTACTCAACAGATTAGCCATGAAGTCTCGGTGGATTCTTTAGGAGGTCCAGTCCTCCATGATTGTTTTCTTTTCCTTTCTTCAGTTGCTTTGTGTATAGAGTTTAGTACAATTTCTAGAACTACAAACGGAACTGCTCATAGAGTTGCGCGTAAAGCTCTGTTTCTATCTTTTTTAGAGCTAGTTTCCTTTGATTTTGTAGGGCAGCTTCACTGAGATATTGCTTTGGGAGAGACCCTGGATAGTTTGTACTTATTTCTTGATATTAGTTGATAAAAATGTTTTAACGCATTACTAACTCTCTTTACTACTAGGAGCCAACTAAGTAATCCCAAATTAATTACCGAATGGCAGGCGTCGA